GTCACACTATGGAATCACAGGAGTTCCATAATAAAAATAAATCTGTTAAAGAATAAGGAAATAAATGTTTAAATATAAAGAGGAAAAAAATAAAAGAATAAATAAAAACAATATGGAAATATAACAGTAAATGTTGTCTTTGCTTTTCCATTGTGCCTTTGTTCTTACTTGATGGACTGAGCTGCCAATCAGACGGCTCTGAAATACAACACTACTGTGCTGTAAAACTAAATGTTAAAGATTATAAAACTACTGCGCTGTAAAACTAAATGTTAAAGATTATAAAACCACTGCGCTGTAAAACGTAACAGTGTAAAAATATTATCTGGCTTATCTGTGAAACGTGACCAAACATATGGTCCTGGTACACTGTAAAACATGAGTGTAGATCAACAATATGAACGTTTTCCTGCTTTTAAATGATCATGTCCAACACATCACATGTTGTTTGAGCAAACCTTTATTGGTAAAGAAAAAGTGCCGAAGCTTCAGTTTCGGTTTTTAACCCTTTATTTACTGAATGGTCATTTACAGGCAGTTAAAGCTGGTTTCAGGTCAGCCGTCGTTTCAAACCGAGTTAAAGAGCGAAGCAGCTTCACCAAAGTGACGTTTTATGTTCCAGGTTTGTGCAGTTAAAGCTGCTGGTCTGCAATTCATGAATAAACACACAAACTTAGTGTTTCCGTGGTTCTGAATAAACGACAAACACACAACTCAACAAACAGGGAGGACGAACAGAAATACCAAACGTTTAGGTCATAGTTTACTTAAGTTACACTTTAGCTGGAAACTCGTCGGTCAGACGATGACGAGCTCCACAGAGAGGCGCTGCTGCTTTAAGGACACTTTGACTGAATGTGAACAAACACAACCTGCTCTGATTCTCCAAAACACTTCCAACAGGGACAGACTCTGACGTCACACTTCATCGTTTGTATTCGCCAGACTGAAATAAGAAAAGCTCTCCTCGATCAATAGTCACATTAAATATTCATCAGAGCCTTTAACGGTTTTCATAATCAATCAATCAGCTGCTGACGTCTGTTACTGAGACGGAAACATCTGATTTCATGAGTCTTTATTGATCGATCAGCGGAGGGAGGAAGGAACCTTTATTGATCTGTGTGAATGCGATCAGAGTGATTGATGGATGATCAGTTAGCCGTGATGTGATCAGAGTGATCGATAACTCTGTTAGAGTAGCTGCTGCTGTTACAGATGAACACCAGGGGGCGCTGCAGAGTCCCTCAGTGGACGCACCACCACATGACCAGCACCGAGGCCAGCAGGCCAATCACAGAGCTGGCTGCAGAGGAGGGGGCGGAGTTACACAGGTCGGAGTTGCAGCACTTGAAGGTGAAGCTGGACACCTGGAAATGATTGATAACGTTAGAATCCATCAGTGATTAATACGGCAGAACCAGCACATACACGGTACCATCGGAACCACAAACTGATCAATTCCCCGAACAGATGACGGAGAACCAAAGGGTTCTAGACATCTACAACCTGAAGAACAACTGAAGGTTCAGGAAACTTTAGAGGAGCATGACTTCTGTCAAACTGAAGACAAACTGAGATCCAACCGGATCAGGGTTCTAGCTGCAGGAGGCGGTACCTGGGGGAACATCTGGGCCAGCCGGCTGTACTCGCAGTCTGAATACTTGAGACACTGGCGGTAGGTCATCCCACCTGCAGCAATGGAAACAAGAGAATCATTAGCAACCAGCCTGTTGTTCTGGTTCCTTTAAAACCGACAGAGAGAACCCAGAGTTCTGATGGAACGGGGGTGGTACCTCTCTCGTTGAGCGTGAGGCAGGCGTCGTCGTAGCTGCAGTCTCGCTGTTTGGAGCAGCTGGCTGTGTAGTCCTTACAGCTGTAGCAGCGAATGGCTGACCCTGAAACGCAGAACACACCTGGTTCTAAAACACAGTGGAGCTTCTAACATGGTGAACTGGTTCCACAAGGTACCAAGGGTACCACGAATGGTACCAAGCAGTGCAGCACGGTCAGAACATTCTTGGAGGTTGTTGTTGTTGAGGAAGAGTGGCCAATGGAACCATCTCATTCAACAGACGGTTCCTCACACACCTAATGTGGTTCTTTAAAGCACCCTTCATCTTTACTGGAGTTCTTTGGTTTGGTGGCGGGAAACAGCAAAATAATTATCAAAATAAAACCACTTGGGTCCACAAAGATATATCTTGGAAATGGTTCCTTAAAAACTGTTGGTTCTTTTAGAATGTTAGCCAAAATAGTTTATTTAAAGAAGCCATGTAGGTTGATCCCTTTGGAGTCTCCTTAAAGAGTTCTGTTTAAAATGGCTTCTGAGGAGCTGCTTGCTACTTTTTCTATCAGCGCCTGTGTGGTTCTGTTTGGACTCCGTGACTCGTGTAGGATTTGTGCTGCTCACAGGAAAGATGACAACATGATGGTAATCCATGTTTTTGCCTCAGAATTCAGTTTCATGAAGAACTAGTTTATGCTGAGCAGGTGTGACCTGTCGCTGTGCGTTACAGAGCAGACACTGTGACCAAGGCCCCAGGATCGAGCCTTGTGGAACACCGTCTCCACGCTGCTGTCGATGAGGAAACTCTGACAACATCACCAGAGGTGGGATCGTTTCATGATTGTTGAGGTCAGATGTTCCTCCACCGTTCTGTAAACGTTACATCATATGTGACACCATGGGTTGCGTTGCTGACTACAGCTGCAGCCGCCAACTTTAAAATGTTCCACTTCTCCTGCTGCTAACCTTCCTGTTGTCGCCATGATTTGCTTCAAACATCATTTCAGAGCATCCATGTCATGAACTGAGACCTGTTGGCTCCGAGTCTGACTTTTGTCCTCGTAGAACCGGGTCCTTGGCGCCATGCCACATGTGACACAAGTTACCGATTTGATTGGTTTTCAGTGTTTTCTTGCTCTCAGGATGTAGCAGTCCCAGACTTTGACGTTATCTGTGTCCGGTGGCAACAGTCCCATGAGGCTGTGTTCCACCTCAGGGGTCCTGAGTGTGTTCTGACTGCAGGAACCGTCCCTGTAGAACCTCCGGGTTAGGTACTTCTGAGCCGCCACCAAACACGGCTCCATCCTGATTGGTTCAACTTGGAGTCGACAACAAGCCATTTTTTTTTCTGTCCTCTTGATGTCGTCGTCCAGCAGAAACTAACACCGAGAACAACGTGAAGTTCCACACACACTCAGACACAACAAAGCTCGACTGTTCCGTTGTGGCGCTCGGTGCTGGTGGATCTCACACTGAACGTACCGACTGTGGAGGCTGATCCTGTCAACGTTCCTGCAGTGGAACGCTTCCTACTGGCTGCAGTGGTTTTTAATTTTCCTGCGGCCATTCATGACGAATTACACGATCATTAGGAACCGATGTTCCGTCTGAACGAGGAGGGAAAGCTGCAGATTTGGCTGATTAGTGTGGACGAGGTTGCAGTCTGTTACAGGAGCTGAAGGGTTAATTTAATAACTGCTGTTAATTACACTGACGAGCACAAACTGAACAACTCTGTAACACAAAGAACACAGCAGCAGCAGCACAAACCTCCAGTATGAGCTTCAGGTTAAACAAATCTTTGTCCTGAAGCCTTTATTTTCATTAGTCATTATTCAATCTAATGAATGCTGTTAAGTAGCATTAGTGTTAATTAGCACACATTACAGGCTCCACAGTGGCTGTCATCTCAAACACTTCTGCTGCTTTAGTTCTGATGAATAACATTAATTATTGAAAGCTGCAGAGCATTAACTCTGTTAATATTTGACACCTGCACAACAGATTTTTCGGACACTCAAACGTACCCAGTCCGATCAGAGCGGAGCAAAGCACCAGACAGATCCCCAAGGAGCGCTTCATTTTCACCTCGGCACAGCTCGTCTGGAATCAGTCGGTCCACAAACACAACGAGACAGAAGCATTCAACAGCAGAGTTCAGAGCAGCTCGACCAGAGCGCAGTGTGCAGAGTGTTGAGTGTGTACTCACCCAGCAGCAGCAGTAACTGCAGCTCAGCACAAACACACCGAGACTGACCCCCATGGAGGCCCCGCCCACTGGGAGGAGCCTGAAAAATAATCACTGCCATTGTTTTCTGTTCTCACTTCAAACATGAAGTCAGACAAAACAAATCAGAATTAGGAAATAATACTGAGGGAGCCTTGATAGGAACACCTGTACACCTGCAGACAGGTGAGGAGCTGCACCCCATGTTCACACTAAGCACCAGCAACTCCGACCGTTGCTCCGACTGTTGTTCTCACTGTTGTTCTGACCATTATGTTTGGTTGGTCTGACGTGAGACCAACAATCACAACAATCGTCAGAACAACAAACAGAACATCAGTCAGACTGTTGTTGTGATTGTTGGTCTGACTGTTGTTCTAACTGTGGTTGTTGGTCTGACTGTTGTTGTGACTGTTGTTATTGTTGGTCTGACTGTTGTTGTGACTGTTGTTATTGTTGGTCTGACTGTTGTTGTGACTGTTGTTATTGTTGGTCTGACTGTTGTTGGGACTGTTGTTGTTGGTCTGACTGTTGTTCTGTTTGTTGGTCTGACTGTTGTTCTGACTATTGTTGTGATTGTAGTTTGATTGTTGTTGTGATTGTTGGTCTGACTGTTGTTCTGACTCTTATGTTTGGTTGGTCTGATGTGACACGAACAATCACAACAATAGTCAGAACAACAGTCAGACTATTGTTCTGATTGTTGGTCTGACTGTTGTTCTGATTTTTGGTCTGATTGCTGGTTTGACTGTTCTGTTTGTTATTTTGACTATTGTTGTGATTGTAGTTTGATTGTTGGTCTGATTGTTGTTGTTGTTGTTGTTGTTGTTGTTCTGCCTGTCCTTTCGGCTGTAGCAGGGATTTAACCCTGACAAAGAGGACAAGCTAACGTAATTAGCAGAGTTTTTTTTCTCACTTCTGGACAGAGAAGTTGGTTTAAGAGGGAAAACCTCAAACTGGAACCACGTCTCTAACCAGAGGAGAGTCCACAGCCACTTATCAGCTGCTCATAACAGTTTCACCTTGAGTCCCAAGTCTTGGCTTGTGAACTGGCTGTTAGTCATGTGATTTGGGGTGAGAACATCTGAAACTTCCCACCAGTCAGTTAGAACTGAAGAAACCTCTTAATGAAAGGAGGCCATGTTAACGAGCCAAAAGGGAAAGTCCAGTTGCGTCTGACGACCGTGACCTGAGACTCTCCACCGACGTATGGAACGGATCATGAACATGGAACAGAACTTCCTGAGCAACTTTCTGAGCAAAGTTCTGATTCCTGCCCATCCATGCTAACACGCTGGCTGACCTTAAACCTGCTGCTGTGAGCAGGTTAGCGTGTAGCCGTCGCAGGGAGCTGCCAGCAGCAACATAATGAGTTTGTGGAGCGTCGCCCCGGTGGCCTCGGCGCTGGTGTGATGGTGTGATGGCGGTGGTGGATGAGAGGCTCAGTGTTCGGCCGTTTATCTCAGTGCAGAGGAAGAAAAGCTCCAGTGTTTCGCCCTCGAATGACCCAGAGACAAACAAGGATCTTCAGTCTGCAGAGAAACAAAGAGCAGAGGAGGTCAGCCCAGAGACAAAACAACGCCGAGTGTGTCCACGCTCGGCCACAGCGGCGCGTTTGTTCTTCGCCATCAGGCCACTGAGCCTCATTACACATTCAATCAGCCGCCTCCCACAGAACATCCAGACTTATTCCAGTCATTATCCAGGCCCCAGAACCTCCTCCCACAGCAGACAGTGACACCTGCTCCACCAACAATCCCGTTAGAGCCAGAAACCTTCACACCTGGACCGAGCCGAGCAGGTCCAAGGCTTCGTTCACATTGAGTTTCATTGTTTTAGATACTGGAGGCTAAACACCGTTGGTGCTGCTGCTTCATGTTTCTTCTCATTCCATGTTCTCTAGAGCTGATAAATTATCGGCGCCCTCTGGTGGTGTCAGCCACCACCTGCACTGATGCTGTGGATGGACTGAACCAAACCAAAGGTTCTGCAGAAGTCCGACTTTATGAGAGTAAATGATTCTGTTTGACATTTCTTTACAACTTTTGTCTCTCTGACTCTCTGGTTTTAACTTCATGTTTTCTTTAAACTATAAAAAACAAAAAGTTCCTGTATGATGCTGCCACCGCCGTGCGTCACTGTGGTGTCCTGCTCCGGGTCCCACCCAACTGGTTCTGAACAAACTTTAAACTCAACCTGAATGGATGTTAAAGCTGCTGATAATGTCCGCTGATATCTACTGGGTTCTGCTGTGTTCTGTTCTCCTGTGTTCTGCTGTGTTCTGTTGGGTTCTACTGGGTTCTGCTGTGTGGTTCTGCAGTGTGGTTCTGCCAGTGTTGGACCGCAGCCTTTCTTTCAGAGCAGACGGTGAATCTTTGTGTTTTTACGGAGTTCTGTCCGACTGCAGGAGACACCTGTAGTCATCAGCGTGATGTCAGAGCCGTGCCGGCTGCTGATTGGTCGGCAGGCAGCAGGTGAGCAGCAGCTCTGACGAGACCTGAAACCTTCATTCATCATTCAGCAGCTCCACTGTGTTCAGCAGCAGGTCCGGACGGCGCCGACGGAGGTGAGTCTGTTTTATCTGAAGTCACACATGATGAGCACCAAGTGGATTATTTTAATGTCTGAGACGGGTCAGCTGTTAGAACCACGTTGGTTCTGGTTCTGACTATTATTATGCAGGGGTTCAGTCAAAAACTCACTCAGGACCTGAAAGACAAAAGCTTCCTGATGAAAAAACTTCTAAAAAATGTTAGATGTTCAATTTATTTTTCATTCACTGACTCCTCTCTTCTCAATCCGGATCAGAACATTTCTTCATTTTAATAATAATAATTGATCAGATTTATACAGCGCTTTTCTAGACACTCAAAGACGCTTTACACTGTCAGTTATTCATTCACACACATTCATTGTGGTGGTGGTAGCTTCGGTTGTAGCCACAGCTGCCCCGGGGCAGACTGACAGAGGCCTGGCTGCCATTCTGCCCCTACGACCACCACCTCAAACAATCCATTCATACGTATTCACACCAGGCAGGTGGGTGAAGGCCCAAGGACACGACCATGAAACAGGTTAGAGGGCGGAATCGAACCGCCGACCTTCTGATCACCGACCGACTCGCTCTACCACCTGAACCGCCCTTTAAACCAGTTTGTTTACTGTTGTTTGTTATTTAATAAAGCATTATTTTTGTTCCAGTCTTCCCAGAACGTCTCACTGATTCTAATACGTTACTATCATGATGTCAGAATAAAACTAAAAACCTGCACTCAGGACCGTAAAGACTGAAAGGTTCTGGTCCTAAAAGGCCAAAAAATGTTTTCGATTCACTTTTTATTTTACTGTCACTGACAATGAAAAACTAAAAGCAAAGATTCACAGTCAAAGATTTCAAATTCCCACAAAAACACGTTTATTTTCCAAATTTCTTCCAGATACATGAAGATCCAAACAGGCAAAAAGAAATCAGAGAACTAAATTACAAACCACAAACTCAGCCAGTGAACCCTGAAAGTCTGTGTTCAGGACAACTGGAGAGTCCAAACTCAGAGACCAACCCTCACTGTGTTTTCAGGAATGATTCTGTTCACACACGTTGTGTCGTTTCAGAGCAACACACTGTCTGGACGTCACTGGACCCAGAACTCCTCATGGACCTGGACAGCATCGGTAGGTCCGGCTCTGTCACTCGACACACACACCTGTTGATAGTTTGACCCTTTTTACAGTTTTTTTATTACAGTGTTCTGTCATTTATTTACCTTTTTTTTTCAATCAACATGTAAATTAAGACGTTTTAAACATAATTTCACTGAATATTATTTGTAGTTTAACAAAGTAGGCAAAATCACAGTTTGAAATCTTATTTACAGTTTTTAAATCCTTAATATTTTTAGGGTCCGATGACCCCGACTGGCAAAGCCAACAGGGCTCATCGCCCTCGGACCCGATTCTTCCTGTCGTGTTTCTTTCTTATTATTATTATTATTCTCCTGACCAACGCGAAACCCTTAATTTGACCCCCTAAACACGCTCAAAAACTCACCAAAATTGGCACGCATGTCCGAACCGGCAAAAAATTTGATTAAAAAAAAAAAAAAACCCTCTCCAGCGCCACCTAGTTACAAGAAACACACTAAAACGGCCCTAGTGGCCAGTAGGAATGTCGTACAGAGATCAAACCAACACCAAAACGTTCGTCTCAATGAGACCCACAAATCTCGTGCTGACGACCCTGACCTATCTCCAACAGGAAGTCTACAATTTGCCTTTAAAAGTAAAAAAACGAGTGAAAACTTCTTTTGGGAAAACATTATCTTGTCTGACATCGTAAACCGTATCAACAGGAGACAGAGAAGGCCTTCATGTACAAAAGCTCTGAGGGGATTTGGTGTTTCTCAACCGGTTTACGAATGGCGAGCCGTTAAAATTGATGACCTGGCTACCAACTATCACAATATGGCTACCAACTATCACAACATGGCTACCAACTATCACAACATGGCTACCAACTATCACAACATGGCTACCAA